ATTTATTGTATTCCTTTAAAGCCTCGTCATGCTTGCCTTGATTCTGGTAGACCAAGCCAATGTTATGATAGGACTTACTGACATCAAGATGTTCACTCCCTAACGATTTTAATTTTATTTGAAGTGATTTGTTGTAATCACTCAAAGCACCCATAAAATCACTTTGAAGTCGTTTACAGTCGCCCTGGATATCGAAACAAGAAGAAATCTTGACCTCTTCTAGTTTCTTAGCTAACTTTTCTGCTTTTTCACTGTATTCATTGGCTTCTATCAATTGATATTTTTGCAGGTAAGATTGAGCCATAGCGAGATAAATAGAATATTCAAGTTGACGACGACTATCACTACTCTCCGCTATCGATTTGATTTGAGTTACAGCTTTTTGAAAATAAAATAATGCGTCTTCATAATTGCCTTCGCCATGATATTTCACGCCCTTTTTGCGTATAGATTCAATCTCGTCAAATATCGTAGAATTGCTAGTCTGATTGGCCATATTTTACTTTTCAACAACAATCAAAATATACAATTTGAGAAAAATAGTCACAATTTGTCTATTCGATAGGGTTAACAATTTTGATCGCTGTACAAATGAGTGATGAAATACGTAAAGAGCACACTATCATGGATGCTCGATGCTTTCAAATCAAGATCAGCATTACAAAGTCTATTTCAGTTAGGAACATGCTTAATTAGCCAAATCGGATACGCCTTTATTTGTTCGCGGTTATCAATCATTCATCTATTATTCTCTTACAATTCATCAGGATGATGGAGAAGAAATAAATTAAAGTGGGCAGGCATTCTTGTCGATACTTCTTTCTATCCGTTTTTCTAATATATCAATCATCCAAGTCAATCATTATTATAATGATAATTATAAAACGCATCATTAGCACAACACTAGCATCAAAATGAGTCAAATGTTGAGGCTACATGTAAAATAAGTTAAAGATTAGCATAAACATGAATAAAATAGGAACATGATAATAGCTTCTACGCATACCAATAACGATTGAATTAATAAACTTGCTTGCTTAATACAATTTACTGCAGTTGTCAATTGATGAAGAGCTTTATACTCAAGTGGCGTGGATTACTTGTAGCTTTCCGCTATTTACCATTGCTGCCTTATACAGTACTAATCGAGACTATTTCATGACTTATTTTTCACGTCAGACAGTTGATTTAGTCGATTATGCTCATGCTTTGACATTTCTCAGCAGTCAATAAATGTAGTATCATAAAATAAACTGATATGCTTATTTTCTGCATTACTTCACGATCTAAAAATCCAATTCTATTAAGTTCATACTCAAACTCAAGATATTAATTAATGCTAATTACTACGTTCATCATAAAGCAGTATACTATAGCTACAGGTTGCACCTTTGATGATACAGTGTCCATCTTATTTGTCAATATTGAAGAGTAGTATACAATTCGCATTTACTTCGTTAACATTGGTTGGTTGTTTATAATAATTTTGCATCATCAAATTGATTGATGAATATAAAATCGCTTGATGACTAATTGAACTAAGGCTAATGTATAAATCACCTGCATAGCGCATGACACTTATTACGGTACCTACACGAGGATAAACTAGCATTCTATTAAATGTATAAATTTTATGTAAGATATTAAGATAGACTATTTTATTGCAGGTTTAGTTTTAATCTCATATAATGCCATGCATATAAGAGGTGATCTGCATTATTTCAATTTACGATTTAAGTGATTCGTACTCAATTCACCATACAAAATCTAAATAGCACAAATCATACAAGTTAAAGCCGTAGTGTAGATTCACCATTTCATTTAAAATCTGCAGACTTTCAATCCTATATTCAAATATCATAGTTATCACACTGATGTCGAAAATATCAGTAACTGAAATTAAATATGTACAGTATAATGAACACGATGCGATTAAATGTATCATTATACGAGTATATATTTAGTGACTGACTCGCTAGCTTGATTAATTAATAATATTCAAGTAGCACCCAATTAAAATATCTTTTGTATGGTAATCTACTACTGTAACTGTAAGGTAAATTAATAATATTCATAACTAGAAAGTACAATTGAAATTTTGCAAATGAGAACTGCAATCGTAGATTATAGGCTATAGGAAAAGGGTAATGAAGAAATACTGCGCGTTATGTAATATTAATAGTATGGTTTTGCAATATAATTGTCTATATTTTAATTTGCGTATTTTCATTAAGCAATAGCAATTAGCAGTAAGCAATAAGAACATATTCATTGAAACTAATGACAAATAGCGACGAGTATTCAGTGTCGATATATTTTAACATTAATCTACTATATCGCACATTGCCTACCACCGACTTCTTTCACTATACACGCTTAAAGAAATACTCACATAAAGCTAACACCAATTGCATAGCTACTAGTGTCTGCATATGGAAACTTATTTTCATAATCGTATGGAAAGAGCAGAATTGAATTATCAAGATATATGCATATGCTATGCATATATAGCATGCATATAGTATATTGCGTGAATATAGCATGAGCCCAGTGACTTTACTCCGATTAGAATTTATCTTTGCTATTAAATCATAATATATACTGAGCATCGAGCGAGTATATTGTCAATATCAAACTGGAACTTAATTAGTTTAAGTAAATATTCATATATATAGTTCAAGTTTACCATAAACCGTGGCTCTATTGATAAGAAATAGTTATTATTTTGATAGAGAGATTCTTGAGCCGGCAGAAGTGGAAATAGTTGCCATTTCAGAGAATGACATAAATGTCTTTAGTAGCGAACAGGTACTTTATTATAGGATGTAATTCGCGTAAGAGTGCGGTAGTTACTAGGAAGCAGCGTGCAAGCTGTGATGAAATAATATGAGAACCACTAACACTGTAACTATTATAGCTAACGCAAACTGAGGTAGAAATCGGTAGCATTTACAGCTTTAAAGATAGAAAATATACCATACTAGTCTATGAAAATGGAAGAGAATGCAATTTGCCTATTAAAGTACAAACACAAAATCTTAATTTAAATCGGTAGAATTATCTGCAAAATGCTGTATCGTAGGTTGATTTTTGATTATTTTCCATCCAAACAGTATTGACTTAATAGTTGTTTGCAATCGTACTTAAAGTCTTCGATTCATGTATAAGATTTATTCCTTAATGTGGATTGAATATGAATAGTCTAACAGATTTTCATTACCTTCCAACTGAAGCTGAGGAAAACTTGAACAATAACTTGATTTAAGCTTAACTTATTGTAAAGGTAGCTGCGGATAATTATCGATATAACCGAACAGATAATAGTGATTTTTAAGTGCACTTTGTCCTAGTACAACAAATCGCATAATTACTACTTGCTTCTGTTAATACTGTATAATGTACAAGCTGCTAGAGACAATGTAGTAACCACATGGTGGTTAGCAAGATCTTGTCAAATAAACAGACTATTTACAATGGATACGGTATGTCTTCTGTGCAATAAAACTGCTGTTAGGTGAGCACATACTACTATCGGATAAATATTCAATCTATTACATCTTTCATGATATTGTCGCAATCAGTCAATCTTACTATATTTTATATTAGAAACCTTTTTTATTAAATATGATTCAGCTCTAGCATTACTGTAATACGTGTTGTCAACGCTAAATTTATACATTAATGAGCAGTTTTAATCATACTGCCAATGGCAACAAAATCTTACTGAAAAACGTGATACATCGATGATCTAGTATTAATTAGCGAAGCAGCCATAACAAAATAAAGCATCCTATTCAACATTTGAAAGAAATCCTGTATTTAGTATGAAAGAAATCTATCCAATACAGATACCAAAGTTTATCCCAGATTTATAATTATTGGATTATCATAGGAATATAGTTTCTTATTCATGTACGTATCTCTTGTAATTGTAGAAATGTTTGCATAACACAAAGCAATTGATTACTATGCAACATTGACATTGTCTCAAAATAAGATGAAAAAAACGCAGTATTACTAGATAAAGCCACTTAATCTAGCAAAAGGCAATTTCGAATAGTTTATGTAAATATTGCATATCAACATTTCGTTATTTCTATTTTACACTACGGATTATAAGGTAAAAGTATATAACCGTAAGAGCCAAAATAACTTGAGCAATCGATGCTGCTTGTCACAGCGATATATCTTAAATGAAATTAAAAAATTTTAAAATAGAAGCAAGTGTTATAGTTCATCCTTCAATATAGTACAATAGCACCGTAAAAGCCATGACTGAAATAAACGATAAGAAAGTAGCTATAGCACACATCATGTCAGTTTATTAACAGACCTGCTGCAGTAAAAAAATAAAATATTCTCATATTGTCAACAATATCGGTAGAACGAATATAGGATTACTGTCGGTAAATTATGGAGAGACATGTTAAATCTTGATTGCTAACACAAGATAACTATCAAATCACGTAATGTTGATCCTTTCAAATAGCTAATTGTTAGAAGCGGCTGATTCGTTGACTTTTGCTATCCTAAATTGATTTTTCAACTATAAATATTAATACCATCTTTCAGGTGTGCCAATAAGGCCACTTCGTTGGGGATTCGTAAACTTATACGTAATAATATACAATACAAGCGGTAGAGGAATTAATCCTAACAGCACTTGAGCTGCAATAGGTGGGTTTTTTAGTCCATTGGTGCAGCAGCAATGCCTA